GACATGGCGGGTGACCTTGATGGTCGGAAATCTACTTCTGGATACTTGATGACTTATGGAGGGGAAGCAGTTTCATAGCAGAGTAGGTTGCAGAAGTGTGTTGCTTTGTCTACTACAGAGGCAGAATTTATCGCAACTACTGAATCTTGTAAGGAAGCACTTTGGTTGCAGAAGTTTCTAAAAAAACTTGGCATGAAGCAAGAGAGGTATGTGGTTTATTATGATAGCCAGAGCGCTATTCACTTGGCGAAAAATTTCACATTCCATTAGCGGTCTAAACATATTGATGTGAGATATCATTGGATTCGGGATGTGTTGGAGTCTAAGGCGTAGTTTCTTGAGAAGATCCATACAGATGACAACGGTGTTGATATGTTGACAAAGACTGTGAATAGAGACAAGCTCCTGTTTTATAGACAGAAAGCAGGTTTGGTTTTATCCCCCAATTGAGGGAGATTGTTGGCCCGGTGTTCCCCTCAATTGGGCCAACAAGAAAAAAAATAAAACCAAGCCAAAGTTGGCTTTAGTTTTGGGTTTCACCGAGGGAAACAAAACCCATTCCAATTGGGTTTTTGGTTTTTGATTTTTGCTCTATAAAAGCAAGGTTTTAGCATAATTTTTTAGATATATTTTTCAGCCGAGAGAGAAAGAAAATTAGGGCAGCCGCGCAAGGATTTCGTGCGAGAGAAAAAGAAAGAAAGTTCGGGTTTAGTTTTCGGTTTAACTCTCTATTGGTTAGATCCTTTCAGTCCTACTTTGTGATAGGTGTGTGTGTGGAAAAGTATTGTTGTAATCCACCTTTGGGTGAAGTCCTGTGCATCCACCGGTTGGTGAAGACTTGTTCTCATTATTGTGATAGTGGAGATTTGACTGTGGTTACAATCCCGTGGTTTTTCCCGATTTGGGTTTCCACGTAATTTGTTTGCCTCCTTTATTTTATCAATTCTAGAATTATTTGCTTGCTTGGTTGGTTGTCCTATTTTATTGGTAATAGGAATGGAGTTTTTCTTGAAAATCGTTTCCGCTCGTTTGTCGTGTTTATACTCTTTCCGAGTCATCTTCCATTGTGAGCACGAACCAAACCACCCGGCGTATGCTCGCTCAAGCTGATTATGAAACGAACCGTCAGAATTAATTTTTATCCATCCTTCCGGCGGAAATGTCCACTTTAACATGTAACTCGCCCGCTCCAAACCGGTGCCGCATATAGCTTCAACCCACTGGCTCATGCGTTTTTTTTTACTTCTTTTTCAATTTATGCTGCACAATTTAGAAAAAATATTGATTGCATACTCTCTGGTCCCTCCCACCCATTTGAACAATTCATTCTGTTAGTGGACTGTTAAAATGGGTTAGATGGGCTGAGAGGGGACATAATTACAATCTAATATCATCTTCAATTAATTAGAGATGACAAATATTGCAACACAAATCACACTAAGATGGATCAATTTTAAGTTCCATTTTTTCTAGCTCCAATAATCTTCTCCTTCTCCCATGCCCTCCTTCATGCTTTCGGAACATAGTGATTAATTTCACTAGACATAACATATCAACATTATCGTTTGTTTCTACTTTCAGTTCAATTTGGAGAAGAACGATGAACATAATAAAAGCTCCAATTTAAGGAGAATCTAACAAATTAATATTCAAATATGGTTTAAGAAGTAAGATTATTAGTATTTGACTATTTGTTATAGGAAACTAATTGTGCTCTAAAACTAGTTGAAGCATATTATTGGTGTGATCTTATGTTTGGCAGCATGCGGAATATTCTAAACTACTTAATAAATGAATAGATAGAGGTTCAACTGGCGTGCTATATATGATTTGAAAGGACATAAACTTTTCTCTAGAAGAATGAATCAAACTATTTGCTAGTTTTGTTCTTGATTTTTTTTTTCCCGTTAAAATAAAGGAGATAAAAATCCAAAATTTTGAATCAACACATTAGTTCATGGATAGAAAAGTACCAACGTCATTGTGCTTTGGATGCTAAGATCTAATGGACTCAACGATACGAGGAGTGATATCAAATACTCCTTCCATCCTTGAAATAACTATCTAATTTAAATATTCATTTTCTTTTACAAATTATATTGTAATAAGTGAAATTTAGTCAGGACAATCATTTTGGGACGAGTAATAATCTCTTCTATTGTTCAGTTTAAGTTTTTACTTTTAGTATAATTTTAACTAGAAATAAAAATTAAATTGAATAATTATTTTGGGGTGAAGGAGTATGATGTATCATTTGATGTCCGAAGCTTTCCCCATTTCTTCTCTACTTTTTTGTTTTTTGATGTACCATTAATCCATTATACCATTTCTTCTCCACTTAGAAACTTCTGAATACCCCGAATCAACCCTCATCCACAAAAACAACATCTTTTGCCAGTTGCCATCATCCATCTTGTACATTTAATAATTGATCAAAGGAAACATATGACTTGGAAAAGATTCGTATCACAAGTCAACAGCATAAATGGGGTGAGTAAAGTTCCAATGTTTAAAAAGGATCTAGAAGCCCATATATAGCAGCCGCCCTGACCAGAGTAATATAGTAATGGGAAAATTGGAAAATCTGCATGCTACATTAAAATACTTAAATTACCTAAATATAAATAAATGAACATGATACATAATGGTATAATTATTTCTATATTAATATTGGATGGCCGGCATATCAACCGCACACATTAGTTAGTGTTGTGTGTTGAAAATCAATCTGGATGAGTCAACTGTGTGCCACCAGATCAATGAGATTTTCATGCAAAATTCACGCACAAAAACAACCAGTTAAAGAAACAATATTAGTACCAACTTTTTTTAAGAAAAGAAAAATTGATTGGATTGATAATTTCTTAATACTGTATTTAATTTACTCGTTCGTTTACATAAATGGTCTCACAGCCTTTTATTATTATTATTATTATTATTATTATTATTTCTTTTCGTAAACTTGTACTTGAGCTTCAACATGTTGAGAAGCAGATTCATTTAAATTATCTAATGAGTTGTATATAAATTACTTCCACGCCAGAGAAAGGTTTCTGGCTTTTGGACTAAGAAAATATAATAAACATGACTTTTATTTTCAGGTAATACGAAGAGTTTAACTTTGAATCTATAGAGTTTGTTCATTAATTTTATATTTTCGGCTCTTGTAATGTAATTTACTCTGTTGGTGAAATTTTTAATTTACTATGTCTTGTTGAGAAAATGTGATTAAAAGCGTCTCCTGATAATTTTTGTCTTGTTGAGTTTTATCTTTTCCCTGCAAATGAAGACATATGTCATTATCTACATACACTGTTTCTTCTTTACTCCTACCAATCGATGGTCACTTCACGTATTGCAACTTGGAGTGACGGCATTAAGAGCAGAGTAGTTGAAGACGTTTTCAATGAAATGTCAACTTTTTATGTCTCAAATTGTTTTGTTTTGCCTTCAGTTTTGGCTCTTTCTTTGGAAAGAAAGATCCATTGGTGATTCATCACTAGCATTGTCCTCTAGGATACGAATAAAATATTGAAAATGACATTAACAAATTCAAGTTAATTATTTTGTGTTTTGCTATCAAACAACAAGAGATGTAACAACATATTTACATCAACTGATGTTACTTTTTTTAGGCACTTTGCACTCATCTGTTTCTCGTCACTTCATTAACGACCGTTAGGTGATCAAAAGAGCAAAAAAAAGCCTCATTAATGGTAATCTTCTACCCGAGAAGGTAATCGTGGTGCTCGGATCATATATTTAATAGACCAATATTTTTGTTTTAGTATACCAATATTATTGTTTCCAGACAAACTCAATACGTACGATTTTGAAGATGAGCATAATATACAAATTATACATCACGTTATTTAGGTTACTTTAAACGCATGAATATTTACATCAAATTTGGACTTTTATGTCATACATTGGTAATCTTATGCGTATTCTTTTCATCAGTGCATTTGTGTGACAAAAACGATCTAACAAACCTTTCAAACTGACCAATAATCGTATTAATTATATGATAAACCTTCGTACGTTCTTCAGTGATATCAGCAGTGTGTATCCACCAAATTTTGTCAAGGATGTGTTCAAGCATAGGTTATTGAGGTTTCATATTCCTTGCGGAACAATTGCATGTTATATACTCTCTCCGTCCCAAAAAAAGTTCACATTGAGTTTTAAATTTTGTACTATTTTTAGTGCAAAACTTAAAACTCCATGTGGAATAGTACAAAATTTAAAACTCAATGTGAACTATTTTTTTGGAACGGAGGTAATGTATTATTGTCTAAATATGGAAAATACTTTTGTTTTATATATCTTTTTCATATGAATTGAAATGAACTGAAATTTGTAAGGTAATCATATAACACTCTCTAGGATCTTGTGAAGTGGTTGCATTTTGCTAGCAGCCAAAGTTTAGTCCAAAACTCCAAATTAGGAAATTAAACCGTCAAAGACCAAAACTCTCAAGTTTGACTGACTGATCCACATTTGACCCCATCATCTTTTGTTTATAATTTGTGCCCATATCATTTTCAGTAATTTCGTCACAGTTATGCCACCTTTTTTTATCTTTCGTTTGGGGGTTGGTTGGTTTTAAAGAATCATCTAGCTAAGCAATTGTTTGGTATATTCCTTTTGTCACACAATGTTTTTACTGTTTTTAGAACGATAAACAAGGTAAATTTATTTGGGATGGATGAAAATATCGGTCTAGTAACAACTATATCACATTCGAGGCTGAAAAAGAAACTATCTAGAAGATAAACAATATTGAAAACTTTGATTGAAATTTTTACATGAGAAAAATTGGCAAATACGAGAAAAATATCGTGATAAGTTAGCCCTTTTGAGTTCATAACAGAGTTTTATCAATCTTATGTTTTGATCGATTAGAAAACATTGTAGATTGGTTATTTTAAGATTACTACATTAGTCCTCTGCAATATTTTAATCACGTTAGTCAGATTCTGCCTTACTCATTGGCATGCTTTCGATCGACATCAGTCAATTATACAAATTTGTTAGTTTAATAAAACTTTTTCTATCATCCTTACGAAAGTTGGGTCCCAAGTGTCAGATTCTCAAAGTACAATTGGGATTCTCTATCCTAATTTCTATGTGCGCCATTTTGATATGTATAGCGCATGCAAGAATTAATGGATGTAATTCAAAACTTGCAAGTGTTATTAGTGACGTAATTCTAATGTAATTACAAAATGATACATGATAAGTGGACAAATGATCTGATTTGTTCAAACTATAGACATGCAGCTGTCATCGCCGTTTCCTTCATCGGCGACCTTTTTCGAGTGTCGCTTATAACTCGAGAGGTACTTGGAACTTCCGAGCAAAGGCGTAATTTCATATTCTACCTTCTTTTCTCCGTCCTCTCCAGCGGATTTACAGCACTGAAGAAGTTGAAGAACCTCTTTCATTGAAGGTCTTCCTTTAGGTATCGAATTGGTGCATATTAGCCCTAATCTAAATACCGTCATCATGGATTCCAAATGACATTGTTCCTTGACATCCTCATCTAAGGCGTTTTCAATAGGTTTCCCTTCACTGTAGTGCCTCCATGCCCATTCAGCGAGGCTTGTGTTATCATCCAAACGGAAATTAGGTACGCGTCCGGTCACGAGTTCTAACAAGACAACTCCAAAACTGTAGACATCTGTCTTCTCATTTACCTTTGAAGTATAAGCATACTCTGCAATTAACAAAAATATAAAAATTATTAGAGATTCTGTCCAGCATTTGGTTCATTAAACAAATAAGATGTTTCAACCTTTGTACTCTGTACTCAAGTTCATGATTTGATTCATAAAAACAAAGTAAAATGACTAAAAATGAAGTGAATTTTACCAGGGGCAATGTATCCAAATGACCCGGCAACAGTAGACATAGTATTCGGTTCGCCTTTCTTCATTAAAAACTTTGCCAGGCCGAAATCAGCGATTTTCGCATTGAAGTTCGCATCCAACAAGATATTACTCGACTTCACATCGCGGTGGAGTATCGGAGGATCACAGTCATGGTGCATGTAAGAAAGGCCTTGCGCCGCTCCAATGGCGATTTTAAGCCTGTTTGGCCAACTCAGAACAAGCTTACGAACAGAGGAGGCGAGTGGCCCGATTGCGGCCTTTTTGTTGTTCTTCATGTGCAACCATCTATCCAGGCTATGGTTCTCCATGTACTCGTAAACCAGAAGTTTCGATTCCTCGCTCGCGATACAGCACAATAACTTCACTATGTTGGAATGCCTAATGGAGCCCAGAATCTCAACCTCACAGAGGAACTCGTTCTCTTGCTTCTGATCTAACTTCTTACTACTCCATATCTTCTTAACCGCAATATACTCGCCGGGCCTATTCACCGGAACTCTGTATACTTTGCCTGAACCGCCACTTCCGATTATGTTACCTTCTGTTAAACTTGTCAATATATTGGCCTCTGTGAATTCCAGTCTTTGAAAGGAGGTTAACTTCCAAGTAGCGCGATCTCTCCTCTGTTTCTTCCTCCACAAGTCCCTAACAACGAAGAAGATCATTGTAACAGTAATGACAAATATAGCAATCACGATCACAAGAATTACCGCTAGAATTTTATTGGAAATGTTGGTTTTCTGACTGGACTTGGAATAACAAGTTGGAACACTCGTTGAAGGGAGATTTTGGGCGCAAATTTTTGAATTGTTCAAGAAACTGGTTTCATAGGCCATGTTATCGAACTCATTGGGAATCTTTCCTTCCAGCAGGTTAGAAGATAAGTTCAGTGTGGTGAGCCTTAAATGGCCTAACTCCGGTGGTATCGGACCTGAAAGTTGATTCTGTGATAAGTCAAGGTCAATCAGGTCCGGTAAAGAACCGATTGCACCGGGAATTGGACCGGAGAGGCTATTCCTGGAAAGATTTAAGGTAGAAAGAGAATTCCAGGACGAAATTTCTGATGGAAGTCCACCTGTGAGTGAATTCCCATCAAGCATTAGAGTTGTAAGCAGAAAAAGGCTGGTCAACTGCACCGGAATCGGCCCGGATAACATGTTATTGCTAGCCTTGAACACAACCATGCTTGACCAGGATGATATTTCCGTCGGAATTGGGCCGGAAAATTTATTCCCGTCAATTTCCAACCTCGTCAAATTTCCGGCCAAATTAGCCGGAAGATGACCCGAAAATGAGTTGTGACTCAGCATCAAGGTGTTCAAGTTCAACAGCGTCCAAATCTTTGCTGGAACATCACCTGAAAATTCATTGTCATAGAGTTGAATAGTCCTTAAACTGTCACAACTCTCCAACGTTTCCGGTATTCTTCCCGATAAATGATTGGAAAAAGCAATCAGGCCGGTCAAGGCTTCTTGGGCGCACAAGTTATCAGGTAAACTTCCGTTGAACTGATTATTGGAAACTTCAAAAGCTTCAAGCCTTGAATTAAGTCCGAATTGCTGAGGCAAATTTCCATTCAAGCTGTTTTCGAAAACCCGAAACTCTGTCAACTTTGGCAACAGGGCAATTCCTTCTGGAACATTTCCAGATAGCTGATTGGAGAATAAATGCAAAATCTGCAGCTGCTGCAAGTTCCCTATATCTTTTGGAATGCTTCCGGTCAATTGGTTCATTCCAAGATCGATTTGAGTCAGATTCAAAGACTCAATCACTTGTGGAATTGGCCCTGTAAACGAATTTCTATACAGAAGAATCACGCTGAGATTCTTTAACTTCAGTAGCCCATCTGGAATTGTGCCGTTCATGTGATTCTGAGACAAATCCAAATGCTCCAGGCTGGAAAGATTGCTAAAACTCTCAGGAATTGGACCGGTCAACTGTGCTTTCGCCATCCACATGAATTTCACCTTGCTCAGCTTTCCAAACTCTGGCGGAATCACGGCTGTCGACGGGCTGAAGAAGTTGTAGGCCAAGGACAGAGTTTCCAGGTTGCTCAAGTGCCCGATTTCTGCTGGAAAAGTGCCATTGAACAGGTTTAAGTGGAGGAACAAGGTGGTCAACTTAGTCAGATTGCCGATCGCCGGCGGGATGTCGCCGGTGAAGTTATTGCCGCTGATGTCAAGGACCTGAAGTGGGTTGAGCCGGTCAATATCTTCCGGGACTGTCCCAAAGAAGATGTTTTGCGAAAGGTTCAAATGCTGGAGGTTTGAGCAGTTGTATAGAACTTTTGGGAAGGTCTGTTGGAAGTAGTTATAGGAAAGATCAAGGAAAATGAGGTTCTTAAGTTCACAAATGGAGTGAGGGATTTCTCCGGCGATGTTTGCGTCTCCAAGAATTATGCCGGTGACGGTGCTGTTGTCGCTTGAACAATCGATCTCCGGCCAGTCGCAGGGGGAGGATGCATTGTTCCAAGCTTGGAGTGAGGATGGATTACCCCATTGTTGTTTCAGGTTGAGCAAAACCTTCCATTCGGAATCCGGCACTTCCGAAATTACAAAAAAGGGCAACACAAGGAGGAGAAATGTAAGCAAACAAAATGGGAACTGCAGGGTTAGTTCGGTCATTTGGCTTTACCGACGGGCCGGCGTGGCTTTTCCGGTTGTGAATGTTTCTTTTCTTCTGGATGAATGAATGATTGGTGTTTTTTTGAAGAAGAGATTTAAGTACTGGGAAGTTTGATTTCACTTACTAAATATAATATTGATAATGTAGTTATCAATAGATTAATTTAATTAACGTGATTTGCTACCTAAAAGAAACATTTTTGAGTGGGTTGATGAGAAAGATTGAAAGTGAAATGAGGGAAGAAAAGTGTTCAGAGAAGAAGATAATGGAAGGCCGGATGGATGGGTCAACTAAATTAAACTAAAAGGGGGTGTTTTGGTCTTGCACGGTTTTGGACTAAGCTCAGGTTGCATCAATTTAAAAGGTCTTGTTTGTTTATTGTTTGGCCGCATGAGTCAAACTGAAATGAAATCTTTGCTTTATTGATGCCTTTTAATCTGTATGGAAATTTTTTAGAGCACTACTATTATATACCGCAATTTTAGTTATTTATTTGGTTAAAAAAAAATTGGGAAAATTTGGCTAGGAAGAAGTAAAATTATTCAAATTGATAAAAAGGGTATGAACATAAAATAATTTTTACTAAGGGTATAAGTTAATTGCCTTAAATTATAGTAAAATTAAAACAATTCGATTGTGACATAATTGCCCTTTGCTCATTACTTCTTTCAACGGAAGAAAAATAAAATTTAAATCCTCTTCCCTTCTTCAAGATTCTAACAGTACATTATTTCAAGTAAAGCTCGGATTAATTAACAAAACTATGAAAACAAACCTAATTACAAATCATATTCTCAAAACAAGAGTCCAACTTTCTCATTCACACTCTTCAATAGTAAACCCATAAATTTAGAGACAAACGTTTGACATCTCATCAAAGTTGTTCCATAAAAAAAAAAAAGAAAAGTTGTTCCTACTAGGGTCAGAAGGCTACTACAAATATAAACTTCAGATATTCTTGGGAGTAAAATAATTGTTGCTATTTTTGTTCAGTTTTATGAATCATTTAGTTGCTTATTATTTATTGAACGTATTGATTGTCTTCAAATCATGTCGAGATAGTTTTTATTACTACATAAAAGTCTTTTTTTTTTCTTTGTGATATGTTCAACAATAGAATTATGCTATTATAGAATTGTTAACCCTTTTGACAGTTGTATTGGTCTAATTATTGGTGCAGTGACTAGTACCGTGTGTACGTCATTAGGATGGTTCGAGTACGTCATTTTGGACGATCTGTTTTTGTATCAAATGGTGCTGAATCATTTCCAGTAATTTCAATGAAGTTTGTTTTTCCTAAAAAAAAGAAAATGCTATCAGGCGTTGAAATGATTCACATAGCCCACCCTATAAACCTTTAGTTTTGTTTAATTATTTTTTATATAATTGTTCTTGTCATTTCTGAAATTTCGACTTACATAGAAACAAAAGAGGAAGTATTGTTCTTAATCAGGTTTTGGCTAATAGTTTCATTCATTAATCGGCTTGAGGTCCTATTGAAATGATTGAATCTGGAAAAGAAAATAAGGAGCTTAGTGTTGTTTTTTTTCCTAATGAAATAGTGAGGATAATTATGTAAAAATTGATTGTACAGGTAATTTACAGCCCTTATAAAAATTATTTTTTGACCATACTTTTTTTAATAATTTGACCATCTTCACTACCCTTTAACTAAATTTTCCGAAAAAATTAGATTGCTAAAGCTAGAAACGAACTTTAAACACCAAGATAATAAAGATTTCTTCTCTAAAACTTGTATTCATCTCACCCAACCCTCCTATTATGACACTTTCTTTCTCAAAACTACAAAAATTATAATACAATCTTAAAATTCTACTAGATTATTTTTTTTTTTAAGCAGAAAGGAGTACTTTATATCAATTCAATAATTCGAAACACTGTTGATTAAAATAGATTCTTCTTCTTCGTCTTTTCGCTATGATTTTATTATAAAAATTGACTTAATTCAGGTCGTTTACAGGTGATTTTGAGTTAAACGACTGTTTTTTAAGCCCGAACCTTATATTTCGGATTCAATAAGAATCGATTCAAAATCCCCAAAGAGACCAACGAAAGAAAAATAAGAAGACATTGAAAATACCTTCTGAAAAAAATGAAAAAGAAGAAGAAAAAAAGACATTGAAAATATGCTATTAATGAAAAAGTAAAAAACAGCGAAAATACACTGAAATGGGATAACATATGTGAAAACAGACTAGATAAATACACGAGGATAGAGAGGATTTTTCGGCAATTTATCCACTATACCCAGGGACACTGTGTACCCTCTCCTATTTTTTACACTACTAGTCCTTATTGTACCTTTTATCAATCTTTCTATATTTTACAGGTTTAGTCCCTTTGATTTTTTTCTCTCTCCTTTAAAAAACATCTCTAATCTTTAAACGATCATATCTCATGATCTGTAAAAAATTAGAGAACGTATTATACATGAAAATTATAGTACTCGTTGAGATCTATCCAACAAGATTCATGTCGAATATTTTTTCTGAGTTTAAAAATGACTAAATTTCGATGGGCAGAATAAGATGGATATCTAGTTTAGAAAGATGGATAACCAGTTTAGTTTAGATTAAGATTCTTGTATTGCATATATCTCTTGATCCGTAAAGAATTAGAATACGAATTATACATAAAATTTATAGTGCTCGACGAAATCTATCCGATAAGATTTATGATGAATATTTTTTTTGAACTTTAAATGCATTTAAATTTTACGGACAGAAATGAAGAAATGTGTTTTTCGTTTTTCTTTAAAAAATAGTTATCCGTTGTGTTCCTAGTGATTATCCAACCGGTTTAGACTGGTTATCGATTCTGTTTGTACTTGTTATCCAATCATATTTTTGACATTCACTCTTCAAAAAAAAAAAGAAAGAAAAAAAAATGATTGGGTAAGCATTGCAAACAATTTGGATAATCAATAGAAAATAATTAGATAATCAGTGCAACACGTTGGATAATCAGTACAAAAAAAATTTGACAATCATTTTCATAAAAGAGCTAGGAAAAAAAATACTGGATAACCACCATAAAGAAGTTGGATAATCAATATGAACACATTGGATATCCAGTTTAAGAAGATGGATAACCAACTTATTTTACATTCATATTGTTGTGTTTCTTATATCTTTTGATCCGTAAAGAATTATAACACGAATTATATATGAAATTTAAAGTGCTCGACGAGATCTATCCGATAAGATCAATGTTGAATATTTCTTTTGAACTTTAAATGCATTTAAATCTTACGGGCAGAAATGAATAAACTGAAAAATGATTATCCGTTGTCTTCATACTAATTATCCAACCGGTTTGGACTAATTACCTATTTTGTTTTATCCAATCATATTTTTTACATTCACTTTTCAAAAAAGAAAAAAAGAAAAAAGAAGATAGATAACCAACTTAGTTTAGATTAATATTCTTGTATTACATATATTTCTTGATCCGTAAAGAATTAGAACACAAATTATATATGAATTTTATAGTGCTTGACGAGATCTATCCAACCGGTTTGGACTGATTATCTATTTTGTTTGTACTTGTTATCCATTCATATTTTTTACAACTCATTTTCAAAAAAAAAAAAGAGGAAAAAAATAAAAAAAAATATTTGGATAAGTATTACAAACAATTTGGATAATCATTGAAAATAATTGGATAAGTAGTACAAGCTGGTTGGATAACCAGTACAAAAAAATCGGACAATCATTTTCATTAAAAGAGCAAGGAAAAAAAAAGTCGGATAACCATCCATCACCCAGAAGTCGGATGGATAATCAGTATGAACACGTTGGACAGATTTTTTCTCAAAAGAAGAAAAAAAAGAAGAGAAATTATGTTTGGATAATCAGTAAAAACGATTGGATAAGACATACAAAATGGTTGGATAGTTAGTACAAAAAAAACTGGACAAGAATTTCTTTTTTTTCACAAAAATAATCAATACGAACGCGTTGGACAACTATTTCTTTTTTTCAAAAGAATAATAATAAAAAGAAAAACCAAATAGATGGATATCCAGTACAAACGAGTTGGATATCCAGTACAAACCAAATGGATATCCAGTACAAACAAAATGGATATCCAGTACAACCGAGTTGGATATCCAGCACAAACAAGTTGGATGTACATATAAACCCAGTGGATTACAACTACAAAACAAGTTGGATAAGCATATAAATCAAATGGATGGATATCCAGTACAAGTGAGTTGGATATCCAGTACAAACAAGTGGGATATCCATTACAAACAAGTTTGATAGGCATACAAACCAAATGGGTGGGTATCCAGTACAAACAAGTTGGATAACCAGTTCAAACTGGTTGGATAATCAGCATAAATACAATGGATAACTAATTTAAAATAACTTGGTTATCCATCATGTAAAACTGGATATCCCTTTTCATTCTACCTATCAGAATTTTATTATTTTTAAGCTCGGAAAAAATATTCACTATGGATCTTGTTGGATAGATCTCGACGAGTACTATAAATTTCAAATATAATTCGTTTACAAATTCTTAACGGATTGAGAGATATGCTCGTTTAAAGAATAAAGATGTTTTTAGAGATGAGAGAGAAAAAAAGTCACAGGGAATAAACTTGCAAAATAAATAAAAATTGAGAAAAAAATACAATAAGTACTAGTAGTGCAAAACATAGGAGGGGGTACACGGTGCCCCAAATATACTGGATACAGACTCGATTTTTCAGTTTTTGCTCTCTTCATTTGTATTTTATCCACTTTTAGGTATGTAGAATGCAGCAATTGCGGGAAGATTAATGTTGTATCCTTTCGTCCCTAAAACCAGAAAAGTTTCTAATAAAATACTACAATAAAGAGATCTTTTTTTTTTTAAGAAGACAGGACTTTCCTTTTTTTTTGGTTTAGAAATCGTACTAAATGTTATTTTTCATGTAAAAATTTACTTGAACTACTACTAGCGTTGTGTTGCACCAATTTGATAGATAATCTTGTTATTTGTTCATGCATGTAGATTCACAAAATAATTTTTCAAATTATCGCAGGATATGAATTGGTCAAGTTAGAAAAAGGGGGAATTCGTCTAGTTTTGGAGTAGTACTTGATCATATCAAATTTGTCGGAGCATTCGCAAACACACCGCGGATGAGTACTTTATGAGAAATGAATTCCTAGTATTAACCCAAAAAAAAAAAATGAATTACTAGTTGTACTAATTAAAAAACCAGTTTCCTCAAAAAGAAAAAAAAAATAAAAAATAAAAAAACCAGCGAACCGTTCGTGCATACCGATACACAAGTTGGATGGTTGGCATTCTGATTCAAGCTCGTTGCCAATTTC